ACCACAGTTTCCGGTGTTTACCTATGCCGCCATCTTGGTTTCTCCCACATATTCTTTTTCCAGTTTCTTTTTAAAATAGTCTTGTAACATGAGTTTAGTTTACTTCATATATCATATGTCAGATACACAATTCTAATTAAAATGAACAGTACAAAAATATAAGAAGTAAATATTATAACATTCAGGTTGACCTCACTTAAGCAATAAGAAATGCCAAATATTGTTCTCACATCTTTAACCCTGACTTGAATTTAGGAAATAAGAGGGGACCAGAAGAATAATCCATGGTATTTTATGAATTTGATAACACATTGTCTTTCTCTAAACTGGTGAAAGCATGATTTTTTTAGTTTATGTCGACCAATTTGTTCAAACCTGCTTTTCTAATTAAATCTCTTCCTCTGCAGCAAGAATTCTTTGAACGCCTGTATGTCATGTACACTGTTGGATATTCCATCTCCTTTGGCTCCCTGGCTGTGGCTATTCTCATCATTGGCTACTTCAGGTGAGTGATTCCCATTCTCATTGTTATCCACCGAAGACACAGAGGTCTCAGTTTGTGTCCCCCAATATTTTTCCTAACACAAGTTTCTGAATTCAGCCTAGTGTTATTATATGACTTGACGCTGATAATTTTTTTTTATGAGAAATTCAGGGTTTTGTTTAACAGCGGATTCTTTCTATATAATTACTGTATAGATAACTAGAGGCCTGATGCATGAAATTCATGCAACATAGGCCTTCCTTTCCCTGGCTGCTGGCACCAGCTTCCCTTTGGCACTCGGGACCCAGGCTTCCCCCCAGCTGCTGGCAGGCACCTGGGACCTGGGCTTCCCTGGGCACAATGGATATAAATAGTACATTAACATTGTAATATCTAAATTTAGCTTATTCCTTTTTCTTTAAATATATTTTTATTGGTTTCAGAGAGGAAGGGAGAGAGAAGGAGAGAAAGTGGGATGGAAACATCAATGATGAAAGAGATTCATTGTCAGCTGCCTCCTGCATGCCCACTACTGGGGATCAGCCTGCAACCCAAGCATGTGCTCTGACTGGGAATTGAATCCTGACCTTCTGGTTCATAGGTCAATGCTCAACCCATGCTGGCTGGGCTAAATTTAGCTTGTTCTTATTTGACCTTCCCATTCTATGTTATGAAACAGAAAAAGAGATCATTGGATTAAAAATGTTCTTACTCCCTTACATTTGGGTACTTTGTCTCTGGAAGAGAAAGTAGTATTAGTGTGTTTATTACACAGGAAAGCTGTGTTTTCTTACCATCAAGCAATGGAGAGCTGAGCCCTTTTGACCAGATTATACCACAGTTTTCCTGAGTTTTTTTTTCTGTCCATCAAACTTGAAGAAAAACTCTTTTTGGAGTTAGCTTTCTGTACTGGAAATTAGTGTGATAAAATCTAACATACTAAGTATGTTACTAACTTGTATCTATGATCCTTTTATAATTCCAAAGCTTTTTATGTTAAAACTAGAGGCCTGGTGCATGAAATTTGTGCATGGGAGGCAGGGGTCCTTCAGCCCTGCTTGCACCCTCTTGCAATCTGGGATCAGGCCTAAACCGGCAGTCGGACATCCCTCTGACAATCTGGGACCTCTGGCTCCTAACTGTTCATCTGCCTGCCTGCCTGATTGCCCCTAACCACTCTGCCTGCCTGCCTGAATGCCCCTAACCACTCTGCCTGTCTGATCACCCCTAACAGTCTCTGCCCTAGCCTCTGCCACCACGGCTTCATCCCGAAGGATGTCCAGAATGATGTCCGGAAGGTCATTCGGCTGTCTGGTCTAATTAGCATATTATGCTTTTATTATTATAGACTATTATAGATGAGCTTGTTTCCTCTCCAACATGCCTAGAAAATAAAATTATGTAATGCTATCACAATCTTACATTTTCTTACAGAGAAGGTATTGAAACTGTGAAAGTTCCAGTTTTGATAATGTTTATCTCTGTTCAGTGATTCTCCATTAATCATTTATTACTTTAATATACAGTATAATAGAATGCACTAGTATTATTTAGTATAATATTTAACACTGCAAAATCTGGATGAACATGGTAGCAGATAAGGATAAATTTGAAATTAATTCCCAAAAAGTTACATTTTAGTTTTTGATCCCATTTGTTTCTATTGGGAATATATGAGAATGGGTTTCTGTCTTTGTTCATGTTTATTATATTTTCCACTGTTTTGGGGAGGAGTTTGGGCTCACTTATGTATTTTCTTTGCCCTTTTCTGTTCTTATCCAAATTTATAGCTGATTATTTTCTCTCCATAGACGATTGCATTGCACTAGGAATTATATCCACCTGCACTTATTTGCATCCTTCATGCTGAGAGCTGCAAGCATTTTCGTCAAGGACAGAGTGGTCCATGCTCACATAGGGGTCAAGGAGCTGCAGTCCCTGATGATGCAGGATGACCTACAGAATTTCATAGATGCGCCTTCTATGGACAAATCACAATATGTAAGTGTTTTCACCATTTTCTCTCATTACTGACTTATATAACATTACACATAAGTAAAACACTCCAGTCCACTAAATATGTGTTATATTGTTTTGGCTTATCTTATCTGTGGACTTCCTGAAATAGATGACCAATTTGTATACTGATGCTTCCTATTCAATTCTGTCCTCAATTCTCATGCCTAATTATTCATTCAAGAGTGTTCCGAACAGAAAGTGCAAAAAGCACATGATCGGAATGGCATTTAATGTATGACCCATAGCAGCTGTCACCACTTGCAAAAATAAAAAGTCCACTTGCAAACCCAGAAGCTAGGGATTTAAAGCCCATGACATTCGGTTCCTTTATTGTAGACTCAAACAGACTTCCATGGTACTTGAGTTTGTTGTTAAATGTCCTGGCGTTATTTATTAAATAGAACCACCCGATATTTCAGTTAATTAGATCCTTAAAGCAACATATCTGGAAATGAAGTGTAGTTAATTGGTGCAAATTAATACCCTATCTGTATCTGCTCTTTGCCTTGTAGCTTTGCATTCCAAGCTGATTCTGATTCTAGACTGGCTTTGTGACTTGTTTTACACAATAGAAGGAAGTGGAAGTGATAATGTGCCATGTGAGGGCAGACCTGTATGCGCAAGCCTAGCCAACCAAGATCAGCTGAGCCTGGCACAGATCAGCAGAATCACCTAGATTCATAAGATGTTTTAAATGTTTATTGTTTTAAGTCATTAACTTTTGGGGCATAAAGAAAAGACCAGAAAATAAGTAAAGTTATGGTAGAATAATAGATAATATATTCTTTATGCTTTTCTGTATTTTCCTAATTTTTCTCTAATGATCATGGATGTGTTTTTTTTTCTTTAAAATGTAATCTGCTGCCCTAACCGGTTTGACTCAGTGGATAGAGCATCAGCCTGCAGACTGAAAGGTCCCAGGTTCGATTCTGGTCAAGGGCATGTACCTTGGTTGCGGGCACATCCCCAGTAGGGGGTGTGCAGGAGGCAGCTGATGGGTGTCTCTCTCCCATCGATGTTTCCAACTCTCTATCCCTCTCCCTTCCTCTCTGTAAAAATATCAATAAAATATATTTAAAAAAAATAAAATTTAATCTGCTGATCATGGATATTTTTTATAAACAGGAAAAATTAAGGAAAAGCGATTTTTTTCTAAAGAAAATAATTATCTTAAAAATAGAATCAAACCTATAATCTTAAAAATGCTATGTTAAAATAATTATTTTCTAGTCTCTTTTGAAACCCTTGGCCTTCCTCTGTACAAGAGACATAGATTATAAAAAGAAAAATGAAGAATTGCTTTTCAATCATCTAATGTTGTCATTCAGTACAATTAGGAGTTCTAATATGATGCAATTCTGGTTTATTTGTGACAGATTGGGTGCAAGATTGCTGTTGTGATGTTTATTTACTTCTTGGCTACAAACTACTATTGGATCTTGGTGGAAGGTCTCTATCTGCATAGTCTAATCTTTGTGGCTTTCTTTTCCGACACCAAATACCTGTGGGGTTTCACCTTGATAGGCTGGGGTAAGGAAATTACTCTTTTTCTTTTAAACTGCATATGGATTTTAGGACTTTCTGTCATGCCTATCATTAACATTCTTTCAGGGATTTCCCTAGAATAATCCCTCCTCATCTTACCTCTACCCCTCCTTCTTTCTCTTTCATTGTTCGTCAAGGAAAAGTATAAGAGTGTGTCTGTAACCCTCCCAGTGGTAACAAACTTAGCATATGGCTAGTGTTCTGAGGCCACGTTCTTAAGAAGATTTTTTGGTGGAAACATAAGAGAACCACATTGTTAGCCATACATATGTAGAACTGCTCTGTCCATAGCTTATCAATGTCCTGAGTTAGCAATACAGTGGGGCCTTGACTTACGAGTTTAATTCGTTTGGAGAACGAGCTCGTTAATGTGCCCGTTAACTCAAATTACTCTGTCAACTCAAAGTAAAAAATTGGCGGAGAGACAGCTGGTATCTCAAAAAACTCATTAGTTGGGACACTCGTAAGTTAAGGCCCCACTGTAGTTTCATTCCAAAATTATCATTAACTTCTGTTTCTAGGTTGTGTGATGAAAATGCCAGAAAGGAAGTTATAAGATTAACTTGACTGCTTGTAACTATACAAATTACAAACTAATTATGTAGACTGACCATATCTTTTAGATGGAAATAATTCAAATTAACTTACGGGATAACTAATTTTAAAAAAAGATATTCAGCTCACATTTCAAAACTGCCTCACTAGGATTAGAGGGATTATTGGACGAAGGACTAATGCAACATGCACGACATGGAGAAAAGGATGTTGTTTGCTAAAATTAAAGAGAAATTAAAACTCATATGTGGTTAAAATTAAGTTTCAAGATTAACAATTGCACATTGCAATTGCTATTTTAACATTTAAATTATGAAGTGCTCAGCATAGGAAAAAAATGAAGTAGGTGGCTCAAAATCAAATTTGAAGGTTTTTTCCCCCTTCCAAAATTAGAATATTTCTTGGCCCATTTTGCCTTAAAATTGTTTTAACATTAAAAAATGTGAAGTGAGGAATATTGAATTTCCTTCTAGTTAATAACCTTTAAGAAAACAAAGGGTCACCTGGACAGTGTTGCTCAGTGGTTGAGTGTCGACCTATGAACCAGTAGGTCACAGTTCTCTTCCTGGTCAGGGCAGAATGCCAAGGTTGTGGGCTTGATCCCCAGTGTGGGGTGTAGGAGGCAGCGAATCATCTCTATCTCTTCCTTCCTATCTCTCCTTCTCCCTTTCTCTCTGAAATCAATAAAATATATTTTAAAAAAAGAAGACAAAGGGTCAACTTACTCTGACACTTCATATATTATGAAATAATGATTGTTATGAATAAGGTTTTATTTCAGAAGGGAGCTTGTCAGCCTTAAGGCTCTCCCATCTCTTTAACTAGCAGTTACTGGAAAAAAACCAAAAAGATACATTGCATTTTTTAGGGTACTTTGAAATATTTTTGGACAGCTTTTGGTAGTTTGACTTCAAGTCAAAATTATATCTGTGTACCAACATAATTACTAGATGTTGGCAAAAGTATTAATAGAAAATTTAACAATAAATGTAGATATTTGTTTGCATTGTGTTTCTTTTTCTTTTTGGATTTCTACAGCACTGGTCACACTTGTAATAAATTCTTTTTCCTCTATTTACTTATTGGTTTGATAGCTAACTTCCTCATCAACTCTTATTTATGCTATATCAGTCAATTCTGTCCTTCCTTATAGTCAGGACTTTGTCTCACTGAAACCCAGGAAACTAGTTAAGTCTTTCTATGAAAAAGAGAATTTTCAATGAGCTTCTATGTGAGTATGAGTTTCTTACCTTTTTTTTTTTTTTTTTTTTTTTTTACAACTTTAAGCTGTCCACAAAATTTTTGGCAAAGGAATAACTACAGTAGATAAGCATCATTCCTTGAACTTGTTTTACCAAATGGTTTAAAGACATACATAACAGCAAGTAGGATTTATATGAAAACTCACTTTGAAAAAGCTTTTTTATGTGAAATATATGCTCACTCAATTAACCATAGTCTAAAAACACTAATAACCAATCTTTATAGCATTATTATTCTAGAGTTGGTCTATCTTCTGACTCTCTTTTAAATTCTATTTTTTAAACAAGTAAATGCTCTAGCTTAGGGCATATACAGTTAAAAGAACAGTAATATTATTTGAAGAATCTCTCTCCACTGCTCATAGTTACTATTTATTGAAGTAAATAGCTATTTGATTAGCAGACTATTTTCTCACATCTCAACACTGAGAATCTAATTTTAAAACATTTTTATTTCTTATTCATTGTTCCAAATTCCTATGAGGAAAATAATGATAAAAAACATTGCAGCTGCCTTGCCAGGATCATTTGCTAGAGTAATTCACAGTGAATCCAGTTTCCTACTTTCTTTCAATGAGGTAATTTGTTGGCTTCACTAGAGAAGAGAGCTTGCTTGGATTCCTTTGTTATTCATTTGGAACCAATCATTACAGCTTTCAGCTCTCCTCAGCTGGGTGTGGAGTTACATTACTTACACTGATTTTGCTGATTTTTAACAATCAGTAGGAAGGGAAGGAAGTGACAATCTAAAGAGGAGCAGATGCCACATCTGACCTTTAGTAAATTGAAGACAAATATTTAAAACTAGAGGCCTGATGCATGAAATTTGTACACGGGTAGACCTTCCTTCCCTCGGCTGCCAGGCTGCACTCCCCTGCTGACCTGGTCGCCCCAAACTGCCCTCCCCTGCTGGCCTGATTGCCCACAATGGCCCTCCCCTGCCGGCCATCTTGTGGCAGCCACCTTCTGACCAAATGGGGGTGGCCATCTTGTGTGATGATGTGACAGTCAATTTGCATATTACCTCTTTATTATATAGGATGACCATTTTTACACATCATTATTACAAAATAAGGTATATAGAGGAGTATGGGCAAATACTGATGATGCCTATGTTTCTTTTCTTCCAGCCAACCTCATTCTTCATTTTTCCCACCTCTGCCTCAGTTTCCTCTTGAATGTGGCATTTTATTCTTGGTTCCATTTTGTTCTTTCAACCACACATTTAAAAAATATAGCTAGTTCTATACTTAAAAGGTGTTAGTCTTGTTTCTTTGTCCTTATTGAATGTAATTTACCTCTATGTCAGCAGCCATTCTTAATTACCAACTGTCAAAATAAAATGTCAGAATGTACATATTATCATAAAAAAAGCACTTTTTCTGGTTATACTATGTAGACATGTCCTCATTGCCAGGCTTGTATGTAGAATATTTTCATGTTCTGTATTTTCTGAAAATAATCAGGAAAAGGCACTACATTTCCAGTTTTATTATTTCTGTGTAAAGTGACTTCAATCTAGTAAAGCTTGACCTTACATCTCTCATATGAAAATTGGGCCAACCTTCATCCTCAGACTTTTGGGACCAAGTAACATCCCTGTATTGGCTCACTTCTCAAATGGACAACATGAAAATTAGAACTTATCTTGTTCACATAGTAACATTTTCCATGTCTGTTTTCCCTCTCTCCACTTTAATAGCATATTTTTATGTGTGGTGAATATAAGAAAAAAATCTCTTCATCTTAAAAAAGCAACAACATGGTCTCTGAATTCTTTTCTGATTGCAGGGTTCCCCGCAGTATTTGTTGCAGGCTGGGCTGTGGCACGAGCAACTGTGGCTGATGCAAGGTGAGTGAAAAAGAAGAGGTAAATGTAGAAAAGCATTCAGGTGCCTGCTGTCTGTTCTCATGGTCAAACTTATTGCTATTGATGGAGTTGTGTCTCCCCAAAATGTATTTGTGGAAGCCCTAACCCCCAGTGTGACTGTATATGGAGATGGGGTCCAAAGGATGTAATTCAGGCTGAATGAGGTCATAAGCGTGGGGCTCTGAGATGATAGGATTGGTGTCCTTATAAGAGGAGGCACCAGAGAGTGTCCTGACTCTCCGTGTGCATACAGAGTATAGGTCTTGTGGGCACAGCAACAGGACACCAGGAGAGGCCTCCACAGAAACAGACCCTGCTGACACCTGCATCTGGGACTTCCAGCCTTTAGACTGGGAGGAAGTAAATGTCTATTGTTGAAGCCACCCAGTGTGTAAGATGTAATGGCAGCTCGAGCTGACTCATGCACTTCTGTTACATGAAAAGGTGATTAAATGACACTCCTTATAGAATTTTAAAACTGAAAAAGCCTTCCTTTGTATGTTCAATAGGGTTTAGAGTATCTTCTAAAACAGGGGTGGGCAAACTTTTTGACTCGAGGGACCACAATGGGTTCTTAAACTGGACCAAAAGGAGGGCCGGAACAAAAGCATGAATGGAGTGTTTGTGTGAACTAATATAAATTCAAAGTAAACATCATTACATAAAAGGGTATGGTCTTTTTTTTCAATAGTTTTATTCATTTCGAAGCCTGTTTCGTTTTTCTCCAGATGGCCAAGATGCAGAGAATTTCAAGGTTCTGGCTTTGAAAGGACAGATCAGGACACGAATCAATGATATTTCACTGAACATAGCTAAAATTTTCATTTCTATGGACAAAAAGTATTTGCATTCAGTTTTTTATTACATTCCTATCAATAAGAATCATGTGCGTTATTGTAGGTTTTCTACTGCATTCCTATGGATAAGAATGATTTTCATTATTTTCAGTGTTCTACAAGTTGTGAAGTTATAAAATTGAATTGCTTGTAAAATAAAAGTATCAGTTCCAATAATAATAAAAATAAAGTACCAGATGCACCACATTTAGAAGACTAATTTTTTTGTGGCTCTGGAAACGTGGTTTTAACTCTTGTTACTATAAAAATAATTCATCAATATTTATAATACTCTGTAGCTAATGGTATGGAAACCAGGACACATTACACTTTTTTTCCCACTGGTTTGGGTGTTTTATGAGTTTTTTTTCTTGTTGTCTTAAATGCTCAGGACTGGAGTTCTTTGTAAAACTTAAAATACTACTTAATTCTCACTGCCTGTTTGTTTGCCAATTTGTTCACGAAAGCTTTTTTTTCCTGTCTCAGGTGCTGGGAACTTAGTGCTGGAGACATAAAGTGGATTTATCAAGCCCCTATCTTAGCAGCTATCGGGGTAAGTTTAAAAGCCTGGATAGATTAAAAAAGAAAAAAAGAAAAGGATGCAGAATTAAGCTGCTGCTAAAACCCGGAGAAAGTTTGTCTCTCTTCTAGGAAGATTAAGGAAATGGTCACAGTACAGCAGTCGCTGTTGGGAGAGTCTGGGCTGGGGCTCAGACCCTTATTCGTGGCTGACACAGAAATTTATCTGCTGAGATTTCTAATTTGCAAAGTGAAACAGGAAGGTGGTGATAGAGGTTCTAAAAGATTCGCCAAGATGGTACCCTCAAGAATTCTGGAAGGAGACTTAGGTAGAAAAGGCCATTTGCGTCTTCTTGAAGTATAATTATGGCAGTTCTAATGCAAGGATTCTTAAGGTTTCTCCAATACTACAAAGTCCATTTAGTCTCAAAGAGCACCTTTCTGCTCACCGAGCGTTACCTTCCTGTTGCATTATTACAGGTCAGGGTTATCACAGTTTCCTTTGGTTCCTATTGTAGAACCAGCCTGTAAGGGGGGAGACGAGCCCAGGACCCCATCTCAGCACTCTGACTGTGGTGCTCTTCCCTCACAGCTGCTTGTGTCCCGAAGCCAGGAAGGATGATGCTGGTGCTAAAAAACACTGCAGCGTGCTTACCGCTGCTGGCCACAGCTTTGCTGTACTAATTTTTCTAATCCTCCCCCTCACTCCAAATGAGGAAACTGCCCAAGGTCATGAGCTAGTAAGTGGTGGAGCTGGGATTCCGACTTCAGGGTCACTGTCTCTACCCAGTGAGCTCCTGTGCTTATAGTACAATCTAAATCCCTGAGACTCTAGGAAGGACCATCCTGTCCCTCATGCCTGCACCCCTCTGCAGCGGTGCCTCAGGGACCCTGTCTTCCGCTCAGTTCCTTGAACTTGTCCACTCTGTCCATTTCATTGTACACTGTACCCCCGCAAGGCTGAGATGCGCTTCCTTCTCTGCTCCTTACTTTATTTATTTATTTTTAATATTTTGATTGATTTCAGAGAGGGAGGGAAGGGAGAGATAGAAACATCAATGACGAGAGAGAATCACTGATCAGCTGCTTCCTGCACGCCCCACACCAGGGATTAAGCCCACAACCCAGGCTTGTGGCCTGACTGGGAATTGAACCGTGACCTTCTGGTTCAGAGATGGACGTTCAACCACTGAGCCACCTAGCATAACCTGCAGACCGTAATGGGGTTTTCCCTTCTCAAGATCATCACAGTGAATAATGCTTGTGGTTGGTTGTTGAATGCCCATCACATTGCAAGGTTAAGTGAACAAAACCCCTATATTTTCTAAACTGTATTCCTAGTGCCTAGCAAGTTTCCTGGCAAATAGTGGTCACTCAGTAAATACTTGTTGAAAAAATAAAACAGGCATACAAGTTAGATATCCTGGGAACGTAAGAGGGAAGGCGGGAAATAATAGCAGAAAGCAAGTATAATTGCAGAACTTCTGAGTCCATTTCATGCAACCTTTTCATTTTCCTAGAGAAGGAAATGGAAGCCCAGATATTAGTCACCTGGCTAGTGTGACAAAACAAAGACTATGATATATTCCATCTGATACTTGGTGGTTCCAGCCTCATTTGTTGTTGTTTTTTTTTTGGTACATCCTCACCTGAGGATGTTTCTCCATTGATCTTTTAGAGGGAGTGGAAGGGAGAGGGAAAGACAGAGAGAAACATCGATGTGAGAGAAACACATTGATTGGTTGCCTCCTGCACGTGTCCGGACCAGGGGCTGGGCCTGGGAGGAGCCTGCAACCAAGGTACGTGCCCTTGACTGGAATTGAACCCGGGGCCCTTTGGTCTGCAGGCTGATGCTTTATCCACTGAGCCAAACCGGCTAGGGCTATAACATATATTATTGACCATGTTCTTTTCACTTGCATTCCAAAACATGTCAAGATTGTTTCTTGTCCAATAAATTCAATGTAAATAAATAAATAAATATTCTTTATTGAATTTATGGGAAATTATCTTTCCATCTTTATAGCAATATTATAGTGTTTTTATATATTAACTTTAGGATCAATGGTTTGTTTTTCAGTGTTACATACTTGTAGCATGGTTTTATGTAAATATATAGCCTCCATATATGCCAGGGATTTTAAATGTAAGTTGGATCCCTCACTTAATTCTGGCTTTGGAAATTATAATAGCATAGATTCTATTAATTGGATTCTTGTATTTCTGAGAGTAAAATCTGATAAAATGTGGTCAGAATTTCTGAGCAATATATGAAGCAAAATGAATTTAAGAGAATCAAGGAATTTGTAAAGGATGAGTATTTTATAGGTTCTAATGGGAATAAATTCTAATAATTGAATTTTAGAGATAATCACAGACTTTAGTACAAATATGTAAGGAACCACTTGATTTGGGAATCCTAGAATCTAAACTTGTAGCACTGTTGTTTTCTGTGTTTTGCTCACATTATGTTAAAATTATGTTAATGCGAATTAGCATCATTAAAAAACATTAATTTTTTTATTCTGAAAATAAATCTCTCAAATATAACTTAATTATTCACCTGCAACATCTTGATGTTGATTTGAGGATGATTTTAAAATTCTTTTATATAACATTAAAACCTGAGAGGAATCTTTGCTAATTGACAGCAGAACACAGAGCTCTGTTTTGGTCCTGGCCTTACAGGGCATCATTCGAGGGAGCGGATGTTCTGTCTGAAGAGCAGGGGGAGCAGCAGGCAGGGCAGCATGGTCTAGAAGTGGTCATGGTGAAATTGGTAGATGCGGTGAGTTCTGACCAAGCAGGGCACTGCCCCCTGAGGACCTGCGTTTACACTGGTGTCAGCCTAGAGAGGCTGAGACAACGGAATAGAAATGCAATCACAGAAACCGATCAGACTTGCTCCTGAATACTTAGAAGATGGCCTCGAAGATGCCAGTCACAAGGGGTAGAAAAAGGTTTTGGGACTTGCAGAAATATGAGATCTTGAATTCATCAGTTAAGGAAAAGAGAAAGAGGAACTCTGTCTTAATTGTTTCCTGCATCCCGTGCTAGTCGGCTATCTCTTTTCATCCATCGTAATTTTCAGTCTTTGAACACAAAGAAGTTCAACTTATATAATTTTATAGACAACTTGAAGACAAACGTAATAATTCTTTGTAATCTTACCTTCTCTTTCAGCTGAATTTTATTCTGTTTCTGAATACAGTTAGAGTTCTGGCTACCAAAATTTGGGAGACCAATGCAGTTGGGCATGATACAAGAAAGCAATACAGGTAATTCTGGGACAGGCATCCATCAGAAGAAATATTTTGGTACAATTTAGTATAAAGAAAAGATAACAGTTGATCTGAAATGTCTCTAAAGATAAATTTATGAATGTGTATTTTTGTTTGGTTCAATTTGTGGCTTATCAGAAAAAAATATATAAATAACCTAAAAATTGCCCAATATGCTTAAATTCAGAGTACATATATTTTTTGCCGAAGCGAGCACCTCCCGAAAATCTCTTGTTGATGATCTTGACAGACAATTTTTATTTGCATTGTTTTGTTTTGTTTTGTTTTTGTAGCCAAAAAAGTAAGGATTTATTAAGGAGATGGCGCCATGCCCAGAGTCACAGGTAGCTCATGCTCAGAGATTTGGCTCTTATTTCATTCTTAAAATAGTATATCATAACTGAAAAAAAGAAAAATAGGATTGCTATATTGTTTTTTGTCTTTCCATCAAATTTGCACCTACCATATATAAATTTTTAACTTTCATATGGACTGTTTGAGCATGTCCATTATTCCATCTTTAATGAAGAAATGGGCAAATTGAGTGTTTATGATCATTATCAAACTATGATAAAGGTGTGTCCATTTCTCCCAATGATAGAACAATGGAAACTATAAGTAACCTTTCATTCTTTTTCAGAAAGTGAAACAGTGCAGTGGTGTTGGGAAGCTGCTTATTTCTCTAGTTCTGAATAAAAGCGACTTATTTCTGTAGTTCTGAATGATGTGAACTTGTGTTTTTAGCGAAAAGCTGCCTAAGAGATTTGAGCAATTCTGGAGAGGACAAAGGGTGGATTATCTTAAAAACAGGGCAAACAATATTTTGAGTTTATTCATGGCGATTATTTCTCAGAATAATTGAAGAGAAAAATTTATCAAGGACTGAAATAATCTATTAAGAATGCAGAATTGATTTAAAGTAATCTGGTACCCAGAAATTTCTTAAATTTGAAGTCATTAATTAGAACATGGTCTAGAGCAGCCGTGGGCAAACTACGGCCCGAGGGCTGGATCCGGCCGGTTTGAAATGAATAAAACTAAAAAAAAAAAAGACCGTAACCTTTTATGTAATGATGTTTACTTTGAATTTATATTAGTTCACACAAACACTCCATCCATGCTTTTGTTCCGGCCCTCCGGTCCAGTTTAAGAACCCATTGTGGCCCTCGAGTCAAAAAGTTTGCCCACCCCTGGTCTAGACTAAGAGTTGTCAGGGAAAGTATTTTTTCAGCCAAAATGCATGTTACTCATTGACGAAACATTTATTTTTAATAATGTTCAAAGTTGAGCTACAGGTAAAAACGTAGTGGGAAATGACTTCCTTTTTTGGAGAGAAAAACATGGGAACCGACTTGGCCTGGATTTGGGAATTCAATTCAGTATTCAGTGTCTGAGGCCTTAGACTATCAGGTTTAAATAGCTTCTCACTTTTAAACAGAGATTGAGGAAAATGTGTCTGGTCTGTCCCAGTGATATTCCTGCCAGGAGGCTTAATTGAGTTCGTGTTTATGCCCATTCATTTTTGTGCCTTTAAACTTTTAGCTCTTTTGGTTATTACTTTTGTCAAACAAATGTTCAAATATTTGTGTTAAAATAAAGCAATGAAAAAATATACTTCCAAATCGTGGTGTCTAAACCAGCTCTTAAACATTTTTAAACATATTGCAGAGCTGAGAAAGTCTCCAGGTGAGCTTGCAAACACAAGGAAAGACTTCTGAAAAGTACATGATATCACTTTGTCGCTATAGTGGCTTAAAATTGAAAAGGAGTTAACATGTTAATACAATCAGCTTTAAAAAACTTTTTACTTTGAGATAATTGTGGAATTACATGCAGTTATAAAAATAATGCAGAGATCTCATATACCCTTTACTCAGTTTCCCCTGAAGGTGACATCTTGCATAACAGCAATTTACAATAACTTATTTTACAACAAGATTGAAGAAAATCAATCAGATTTAACAACAGAGCTAATACATTTTTTTCTTTTTTAAATTATAACTCAATTCTTTTGCAAAGTAAGCAAAGATTACCAGGACTGGAAGAACAGGAGAGATAAGAAAAATGCAAGATTTAGTGGAAAGGAATATTTGAATGTTTTGGCTAATTTGACTTTCCATGCAATATTACACAAAAATCATATTTAATATTTGTTATTTTTGGAATACATTTAACCAGTATTTGTTACATAGCACGATAGTAAAGAGGACAGATTTTAAGGCTGAATCTACTACTAATTGTATAACTTTGGGTGAATACTTTCCTTTTTTGAGCTTCTATCTTCACCTGAACAAGGGATCATAAAAGCTCTCTCATATAGTTTTTTTTTTTCTTTCTTTGTTTTGTTAATCCTCACCTGAGGATATTTTTCCATTGATCTTTTAGAGAGAGTAGAAGAGAGAGGGAAAGACAGAGAGAAACAGCGATGTGAGAGAAACACATAGATTGGCTGCATCCTGACCAGGGCCCGAGCCCTATGCAACCTTTGGTCTGCAGGCTGACGCTTTATCCACTGAGCAAAACCGGCTAGGGCTCTCATACGGCTTTTATCAGGAGAGAGGGAGAGAGAGTTATATGTGTAGAAAAGAAGGAAAGATTAACTCAAGGCCAAGAAGGGTTGAAAAGGAAGAAATAGTTTTGTATTTTTAAGCTAAGTTGACTCTGAACACATTGTGGACGGATCACGGGAATTCTCATGTTTTCTGTTATTACACAGTGTTTTACAAAGTATCATATTTAAAAAAGATATTAGCTTGTAAGAACATGTCATAAATAACTTCAAAATGCAATGGGCATTTAATTTTAAAGCTTGCCTTTTACATTTATGTAAAACGTTTTTTGTACTTGTTCAATAGAAACTGATCTAGCCACTGGGTAAAGCTAGCAACAAAACTACTGGCCCACAACGTGTTAAAAGACAAGTAGAGATTTCACCCGGGGAGAGATGAGCTCGGGAGAGATATTGTAAGAACTGGGTATTTCTTTTCTACATAGGACACCGAATCCAACAAACATTACACTTTTTTGCTTTGCCCGGGGACCCAGAGTCACCACCATGTTTCCGGCAAGCCTGAGGCCACTTTCAGTTTTTCATCTGTGAGTCACCCCATTACACAACTGTGCCTTTTCAGAGAGCTGGGCTGCAAAGATGTACAATGTGCATCGGCGACCAGATGGAACCTGAAACAAAGCAGTGCCCAGGACTGCTGAGTGATTTGATGTCTGGAAAAGTCCATCTTTATAAGTGAACTAGAGGCCCCTGCCTTCCCCTGGCTGCCTGCCGCCGCTGCTGGCTGGGGCCTCCCTCCCTTCCCCTGGCAGCGGCAGCTGGCTGGGGCGCTGCCGGCCCGCTGCTGGCTGGGGCCTCCCTCCCCCCCCCCCGCAGCGGCAGCTGGCTGGGGCCTCCCTCCTACTCCCTGGCTGGCCCCGTCCCCTGGTCAGACTCCCGGACGAACCCCTGGTTGAGGGGACAATTTGCATACTACGCTTTTATTATATAGGATAGACAGATGGATGGCCCATGTATGCACTGGCCTAGGATACACCGCTGCTCTAACTCGTTCACTGTTTTTGAAGGATAAATTTTAAGAGGATGTAATCATAACCCTTATACAAATATAAGTGAATACATTTCAAAGATTTTATTTAACTTATTAATGAAGGAAATGGTAAAATAGCACATATGTTTTAAAGAGAATAATGACTGCTGAAATGAATTTACAAATGGATGCAAATTAGCAAAACTTGTGCACATCTGTAGGGCTATCATTAGTGGCATTCCATTGGACACAATTTACATTTCTATGGGTAGCAATTATTTGAACTGCTATGCTAGGGAGACTTCTAAGATAGCCCCCAAGACTCCTGCCTCCCCTGTTTACATGGCCTGTATAATCCCCACTCATGCTCTTCCTTGAGTGTGGGCAAGACCTGTGATTGGATGGTTTCTGCCTTGATTAGATTACATTGTATGGCAAAGGTGATGGGTCCTGTGAGTAGGACACTTTATATGAGACTCCATCCTGGCATCCTGGAGAGAGATTCTCTCACTGGCTTTGAGGAAGTAATCTGGCATTGTGAGGACCTGTGGCTAGGACCTGAGGACACCCTGAGGGAAGTCTGTAGGAACCGAGTAACCCCACCAGCAATCCTACAGCTGCAAGGAACTGAGCTCTGCCAACAATCTGAATGAACTTGGGAGAGAACCCTGAGGTCCAGATGGGAATGCAGGGTCCCTGGTCCCTGGCCAGCACCGCACCTCCAACTTTGTCAGACCCTGAGCAGAGGACCCAACTCCGCTGTGCCTGGCCGGTGGCACAGAGAAACTGAGAGATAATAAATGGTTTAAGCTACGAAATTTATGGTAATTTGTTCCATAGCAGTAGAAAATGAATTTCAATCCTATCTTTTTTCTACAAATTGACTTTTATCTCTGGAGAGATGTAGATGAGCCTGGTCATAGGAAAGAGAAGAAAACCCAGATGGCTGAGCTAGCAGGAGAGCCACTAAATTTAGTCTGTGGCAACGTTTTCTTCCTCTGCATCGAGCCAAACTGTTCCTAAACATTTTCATTTGTGATCATTTCCCAGAGTGCTGCTCCTCTTTATGTTTTTGTTTGAACCTAGGTTTTGGCTCTTGGGCTTACACAGGAGGAACAAAGTTAGCGTGGCTGGAAAATAGTTTCCAGGGGGATTTACCCATTCGTGAGAAAGGAGGAAACACAGTTTTCCTTTCAGATTGACTTTAGACCAGGCTCTCAAGGTTCTGCAAACGTAGAACCTGAGGTTCCCTTTTATCTGATTCGACCACATTACAATGCCATGGAGGTATTCAGGGTCTCCTGCCCGGATATGCAGTGATGGAAAGAGGGTTCTTGCCTCTGAACATTGAAAGGATTAGTTAGGTCAGAGAAACCCATTGTCTTACCAG